TACTCTGACTTTACAACAGGGGATTGTTTGAGTAAATATGGTGGGGTAAATAGTGTCATGATTGCAAGGAGTTGATTGTATTTTCTTAGTAACTATCACCTGATATTTCTTTATCATATGCCCTTAAAAATATTTTAACCGCCTACTTATTAAGATGCAAAAGGGCTTAAGAATAAATGCTAAGCAATTTCCTAAATTCCAATAGCCCTTCAGACATTATGGGGCTAGCGCTAATTTAAGTGACGGATCGGCGCAAAATGGCAAGGAAGTAGGAAGGGGATTCTGACTAGGACCTACTTATTTCTACTACTGATGGGAGATTTTATCATACACATAAACTCAGAAAGATTTCGGACACTTTATAGGGTAAAAATTGCATTGTAATTGAGGCAATGATTCTGATATTATTTGACTCTCAACTATATTGCATTTTTAAATTGTTTATAAGTAATAAGGATGTATGCTAACTATTTAATCAAAAGATTTTCAGGTTCCAGAGAAGAAGATATATTTTGAAATTACACTACTAATTCAACTTCATGCAATTTTTCCTAAAGCCTCCGAAAAGCCTTCCAGAAGAACTGGCGAGATTATGCAAGTCCATATTCGAGGCCGCCAAATATGTTGGTTCCTGCACAAAAGGTACGTGTGAATTCGACTTACCGCGATCGCCTCCGAGCTTGGAAGGCGAGCGATTGTGCAGAGAAGAATGCAGAAGAGACAGATTATCAGCAGATGCCGGAGCTGGTTTCCACGGCGGCGACAGAGCTCTCCTGACGAGGCAGAAGTGGAAGGCGACATGCTAGAGCTTGCCGGCTAACACGTGTAGCGAGGGGTACAGTTGAAGAGGGCGGGCGAGAAGAGTGAGCCCCAGATTGATTAAATGAGAAGAATGCTGCACTCTGGCCAACCTTGCTACAGGCGGCGTGGCAGTGACTCAGGCGGCCTGTTGGTTCGTGAGTCGAGTCGGGCTGGGAGGTCAAAGTCCTGTGACCGGGAGAGTGGACAGAAGAGATTTTCGACTGCCGCCGGCACAAGTGGCCTCTTTGTCGGCACAATGATCACCAACAGTCGGCCACTGAGGTACCGGGCTGCTCGAGTTCACCTATAATCACGAAGGTTACGGCCGTTCGTGCAAGTCGTGCGCCCTCCGGTCCACTGAAGACAGGGTCTTTTGCCAGCCAGGTGGGGCGATCGGCAATATTACCCCGTTCCTCTGCCTCTCAGATTTGTACCACCATACACACCGGCATGAACACAGACCTTCGTGGGCACACACCCAGACGCTATCTCTTTGTCTCTTTCACGTGGACAGACAGAATGACAGGCTCTTTGAGCCCACAACGCCAATGTCCGAGCCAGCCACAAAGATGCGTCTGTCTGACAATTGTTGGAAGGACCCCTGGCTCATCCCATAATACCATCGATCCCATGTTATATTTCACAGACAGGCAACACACTTCTTCGGGATTGGTGCATATTCCTAATGGCCAGAGCATCCCTGGTCTGTATCCCTGCCGTTTAGCATACTTCGTCTTCATCAGTGGGTCTGGAGCCACGCCAGGTGTATACCGCTACTTGGTTGGGCAAAGTCCCTCACCATCTGGTACACACACACACACACACACATATTCACACACTAACAAAGATAAACACAGATAAACGCACACACATAAACACAGACACAGGGGCACAGAATGAAATTTCCCCCTCAAGTTTGCACACAGAGCTTTGTCGTCTGCCTCAGAATGGTGAAGCAAAGAGCCCAATTTCCCTGTATGCCCACGCAAGCACATGCATGTACGTCTTCTGCGGAAGTCTAAAAGACAGTGATATCGATAGGTGAAAATGTGAATAAGCAGACACACAGCATGAGACAAGAGACACTCTAAACCAAGCATCCTGTGTATGGCAGACATCTACCGCCTACATTTTGACAAATTTAGGCTGTCCCTCCTCCTATCAGACAACATAGGAATGAATGCTTTTAAGTTATTGTTCCTCAATTAGGTGAAAGGCCGAATTCTATCAAAGAAGGCTTGATAAAGAAAAACGAACTTTCCTGAGAATCACACCGAAAATAGGCACCCTGCATAGACAGGGGCACTCCGACACACTGATAAAGGATCACAACATACCAGTGTGCATGTGTTTCCACATCAACAGGTTTGTCTGATAGCTACTGCATCCATCACGGCGGTCCACGCCATACGCAAGATCGAATTCAGGCCATTAAGAGGATATGACCCGCTTAAATCGAGGCGTTAAGAGAAAAAGACGAAAATTTGCTCTCCATAGCCACCATATTTTCTGAATTTTTCTATATTCGGAGGTTAATCGGTTTTTAAAAAGATCATTATTTCATGGAGCTAGTAATAGTTCTCGGTGCTTGCCAGGCTGAAAGAAATTAAAATGCAAGGCAACACAATTAGATGGCCTTAATGCATGGTAGAATATCCACTGGTACACGCCTACACACTTCTACCGAGAAGCACGACCATAAGTCCCAAGGTATTCACTGTGGTCGGCGCTATAAAATGTCCGCAAACAGTGACCAAACCAACCAGTTCTTTCTCGTAAGAATGTGCATTATGGTGAATTTCTGTGTAGGTGGATAATTTAGAAATAAAATTTGAAGTGCAGATCCGGTTATAAAATCGCATTCAGGTGAAAAATTCGGTGCTTAACGATTTATTTTGTAAGCCTTTTAAAAGGGTCCATATGGAATATTCTGAAAAACTTGAGAACTCACCTTCCAGATATGATTTATCTTACTTATTTTTTTATGAAAAACACCTAAGAAACATTAATTGTAGTCAGAAGCATCTTCCGTTTCTCCTTCCAAGGCGGTCGCATCTTGCAGCAGCTATGTGGTATTCAAGAGATCATTTTATCAACTAATGTAAAATACTGTATTATTTTACTTAACTGGTGTACTTGGTTATACTTCTTCACAATTTACTACGTGGCAAAGTTAACTCCAAACTCAGCCCGTTAAGTGGATAATATATAAGTAGCGTATAAAAGAGGTGGAATGTCAGACACAGGACTCTTGCGACTACTGGAGTATCCTGTGTTTTCTGACACAACTAAAATTTGTCTTCTGTTAAGAAAAGTTCACCAGATCGTCATAAATTAAAGATACTTACTAGTAAATCTACAGATGCAGATGCAAGCCAGCCTTCTTTTTTGCCACAACTTTGAAGATAATGTATAATATTTATCAAAAGTATATTCTGCCTCACCCGAAATATAAGTTATACCAGATTAGTAAGGTGCCAAAATGTTCGCGTATATTTAGCAGCTTTTAAATATGTATTTGTACACTAATTATTGTTTGAAAATTTGAACAATACATGAACCTTAAATGAACTAAATCTCGTCTTATTGACAGATTTTTGACTAGGTTACTGAGCTTCAACCAAAGTTACTCGGTTCTTTAAGATAGTTAGCTATCCGGACTGAGGAAATCAATTGCGACAGAAATACTCGCCTGTATGGACCATAAAGTTGGTACGATTGGGTTGTATTTTATGATATTTTGTATTATCTTCCTAGATTTATCCAATGACTCGTTTAGATCTCATTTTACGACTATGTAAAAAATTTTCTGATATGACTGAAGATTATAAGGGTTGGCGAAGCAAATAACGTCTTATGGGCTGGCATAGTTTATTCGGTATGATTGACGTCTATGTATAGAA